GAGACCTGAAGGTGCAAATGCATCTGTAATAGTATATAAGAAATTTATGGTCCATAATGAAACACTGAAGGACAAAATGCACCTGGTGGGGAGCGAGTGGGGGAATACGTGACTACAACCCTGGAACACCTTGCACAGTGCGAAAGCCAACCAAGAACTAACAAGGACTGTTTCTGAAACGATGTGGCTGATTACGCTAAGACAAGGACTACCGACTAACCGCAGCCCACAGTCACGTACACCCCCCTGTACACCCCCCTGTACACCATGGCGAACCCCTGTACACACCCCTGTACAACAGTATGGTCTGTGGTGAACAGATGTCTCTAGGGGCAGGGCGTAGCGATCCTTGCAGCACGTACTGGCCACACGTGCCAGAATGATTGTGGGTCCCAGCATGGACAAATACTGAGCAGGGGCTCGGGGGACGGTGGATACAACAGCGAGGACAACGTTGCCTCTATAGGGACGCCTGTTATGCCTCGTGCCTGAGTGACACCACTGGGGAACTGTTTGTTGAGCCTGGTCTTGATATCCATTGTGGGGTCGGTATGCATGTAATCTGCTCGCAATAAATGCTGTAATGCTTTGCTTTTTGCAATAAACGCTGTAATGCTTTGCGTTTTAAACAAACCCTGCATGTGTAAACTTTTACTCCAGAATTCAATGAATACAGTCTCCTCTATTAAAATGGAAATCTTCTGCAAAATCCTCTAAAGAGAGGAAGTCAATGTTCTTCAATATCTACAGTCATGCATAAGATTCCTCCTCTTACCCACAGTATTCTCAAATTTTGTTACTATTTTACACAGGTCTTTATCCTGTGTTGTAATACCATTCTCTTTTGTGGAATTTAATTTCATTTTCTACAGAACTGAGCCCCATAGTTCTTCCCTATTTGTCTAAATACACTCACTCTTCTTAACAATATGCCTTTTCAGGTCTAGCTAAGTATATATTGATAATATAACACATATGCCTTGTTCAAAATTTCAGAATTCTGTGACGTTTATACCTTGGTTAAGTTCACCTTGTAGCTGGTGGCTAAAACTAAAATCGTTGATCACCTCTATCTCCAGCAAGCACTAACTCAATGATTGTACAGAAAAAATGAAACTTTTTCTTAATCTTTAGCTAATGACCACTTTTCTTTGAATACCTAAACCCCCAAATATTTCAATCAATTCTCTTGGGTCTCAGCCAGACTTTAAAAGTCTGGTTACCTCATTTGGTCTAAGCTCTAGTTGTTAGACACACCGGTGCCTCAGGGTCTGTAAAATATACTTGCAAGCTGCACATTTGCGGTAGGATCTTACCTACTATCATACAGCTCATTATTGGACAGATCAAAGTTCACTGAAATGAACAGAAATCTTTAATCTAGATTTTCCCTCTCAAACCTGCAAGTGGCTAAGTGCCCTCAGTCTTTGCAATCACAGCTCAGAATTCAGCACGCTCCCTGTGAATTTAAGCTCACAAGGAACTGAATAGAAATGCAGGCATACAATGAAGCATGAAGTGGCAGAAAACTGAAATAAAAAATAGAAATGAAAACAGAGAGGGTGCCACATACAGCTTCAGGAAAATGTTCCTATCTAGACAAGATAATAGCCAGTCATAAGCAAACAACCTATTATACAATGTGATGAGAAATTAACTTAAGAGACTGCTGCATGAGTTCAAAAGTACATATAGAAGGTATGCTAGTAACTACCCTAATTACAGAAAGTAAACTGTTAAAAATAATTTCAAATTTAAATATAATGAAAGGAGTAATTTAGCCTTCAAGCAGAAACCTATCACTTTGACACTAATGCAAAGTAGGTAAGAAGGAACACAGTTTATTTGTAGTGACAAATAAAAGGTTTTGAAAGTACACATTAAAAAAAAATTGTGTCATTTTCTTAAGTTTGACCAGCTAAAAAGTAGATGTCTCTTATAGAAAAACCATCTAAGTGTCTTTTTGTGACCAATATTTCAAGGATTATTTGAATTTCGTAACATCAATAACTCATTCTGCAAGTAAGGCAGTGAAGGCACATCAGGACATCTGCATGTGGAAATTCATTAATGTTACCAGCATTCATCAACGCTACCACAATAAGCATGCAAGACAATGACACTGTATACAACTGATCCTCTGAGAAGGAGAGATAGGACAGTGATGTCCCAAGAGAGACTGCGCTCAAATGCATCCTCTCTCAGGAATAAAATTCACCCTGTTCTGAGATGTTGGGTAGCAACAAAACCTCCTTACCTGTTCTGAACAGCGCAGCAAAAGAGCTAAAAAGATGAATACTGGTTTGCCCTAGTTTTGTATAAGCCTTTTATCTTATGAATTAAGCTGTCTCCCATCTTGAACAACCATGGAATAATAATGGAAAAGGCAAAGGTGTGGAAGAGAGAGAAAAAATGCAATTTGTTCCCACTAAGGGCAAATACAATCATGGACTGGAAACACTGGATCAGATGTAACCAGCAGAGAGAAAAATCACGGAAAATGGTGAAATAGATGTAGTCGTCCGCAAAACAATAGTGTTCTTGTTATTTTCCCTGTTCTTGGGAGGACAGATGTCTGATATGATTACACTGGCTTGTGACCTGGAAGATTATGATTCATTTTCTATGTGTTATTCTGACTGCTTGCTTAATTCTTGATAAGCTAGTTAGAGGTAGGCTTACAGGTATCCAGATATTACAAGAAACAGATATACCTAGAAGCTTTATGGGAGTCTTTTTTTTAAATTTGATTCAACAATTTCAAAAGGAATTGAACAAAAATGCTTAGGTGCTTTTAAAATCCCACTTTACACTTTTGATTAAATCCTTTAGAAGTGTTTCAAAAAAAACCTTTGCTAAATGAAGATACAATACCTCCTCATGTCAATGATCCACTGTGACGACAGATCCATTACTACAGTAACAGACCTTAACAAGGGATTAATAAAACAGGTCGATAGACTAGCTGAAGAGAGTTCAGCAAATGGAAAGCTGAATGCTTCTTTTGCGAAGACCAATTTCTAAAAATTGCAGAGGTCAAAATGCCTACCTGGTGCCTGGAGGGTATTCACTGGCGTGGTCTATTGAGGGGATTGTACAATTATTTTGTTCTAAGAATGATCTATGGATACATTTCCTTTTATTCTGGAAAGATTTGTCTGCTGCAGCAGTATTTTCCAGTCTCTAACAATAACTCCCACTCTGCTCACAAATGCCATTCTGTCAAGTATACAGTCCCAATCTATCAAGTATTTCAGCTGGGCTGCAAAGTTCCTAAGTTGGGAACTGCCACTTCCACAGCTTTGCCAGCTTTGGCTTAGATGTTCAATATCAGCTGTAAGAGCAAAAGTCAAAACAGTCCATCCAAGATAGGAATCTAGTACAGGATCTATAAAAATCCAAATTATTGCATGCTCATATAAAGGTCAGCTTTTTAGCTTTTGTATGTCACTGCTCCATTGATTTCAACTAAGTTATTATAATTCATAGAAGCTGAAGATCCTCATCTGGTTCCTGGCTTTTAAAACACACAGCTGAAACATGTTCTGAAACATCTTTCGGCAAAAGCTAATCATCATTTTTGCAAAAGAACAATAAATAATGTAGAACCATCTTAACTGGGGCACTTCCACTGGAAGAAAGAATTGGTCATAAAATAATCATCTGACCCAATTTTAAGAAGTTTATGCAAATGCATTATGCTGTGTTCTAAACTTAAATACATAATTTAGATTACTTTGGATGAGAGTGACTCAGTAAGAATCACATCGTTCAGAAAGTAGCATGAAGTGAACATGATAGTCTTGCAGTATGTCTGGTTAGTACAGTAAACACCAGTTCTCACACCTTATTCAGTGTGAACAGGCTTAAAAATAGTAACAAACCATGATTTATAGGAGTTCTTCACAATGGGGTATTTTGTTACTATCCCAGGTAAATATGGCCAAGTTGACCTGTTCCTTCTGAATAATTACATTACTGCTCTAACTACATTAACTTTTCCTCACTTCTAGGTACCTTCCACAGAGGTCAACCATCACCACCAACCCTTTCCTGAAGACAGCTCTTTCAACACTGCATCTCCGTGGATGAGATGCATCTCTGTACAGATCCTGCCTGACCACTACTATCCTTCAAAAGAGCCCTTCAGGCTGACCTCTCTTTTTCCCATGTCATCAACAGTTGCTTTTTGTTTGAAAAGTCTGACTGTCTGGAAAAACACTGAAAGTCAGCCACATCCCATCTGCACTATTTGGACACCTCTGAGCACTTGTGTCTGCTCCAAGATCTTTGCAGTCTTTCTGCTACTTGGCTCCTCCACCTCAAACATCTGCTGCAGAAAACCACGCACTGCCACTGGATAAAATCCAAAATATCTCCTGCTGTCTCTGAAGTCAGAGCGCCAGGCACAGCAGAAGGCAAAATCTTCAGCATCTATCTCTCCTTAGGCCTTGCTAACATCTTAGTTTCACAAAGTAAAATCGCGTAACTCATAAAATCCTGTAGCTATTTTCATGGCAACATTCTGCAGGAGTCTCTGACTGAAATTCTTCTAACTCTTTACACCAGCTAACATGTTCAGCCACTCTATTATCCTTTCAAGTTGAGATGAAAAATAATGCACTCTCTTTTGTTTAAGGTTCCAAATAAATTATTGTGACTAAAAATGAACAAGAGACTACACAAGTGCCAGTGATTTCAAACTACTTTTGGGGCTAAAACGATCAGTGCTAAACTCCACAGGTTTCTAAGACTGGACAGAGCATGCACTCCACCGTAACAGATGACTTGGAGCATTAAATGTATTGCTGACTGCCAGCCAAAGTCACTTCTTGCCCTTCAAAGTGTCACTATCTTAAAAAAAAATCAATATAAAATTAATTATAGGAGGGAACTTGTGTGGACTGTCTCCAGCAAACTCTGCTTCTTTCATATATAAGTATTGAGCTATTATAGGTGAAAGATTAGGTGCTGAGCACATGATGCTACATAATACTCACAGCAACTGCCTCCAGGATTTGTTTAACAGCGTCAGCAGCATCTCGTTCACTGTAGTAACCCTTTTCCACAATCCTGCAGAAAAAGCAACAAGAGAAATTATGTTCAGGATTATGCATTAAGGTAAATAAACTGTTCAGGCAAAAGTTTCTTTCCAAAAATGACCTTGAAAACAATCAAATCTAAATATGACCAGGACTCTGGAGTGTCTCCTAAAGAATAGAAAACAAACCTTTTGCAATTTAGGTTACCTTTGATTCCCAGTTAAATGAAAAACTAGAGATAAAGGTAAGAAGCTCATCATATATACACATTCATTTGAAAGGTTTTGGAATTTTCTAAAATTCAGGGAATCTGAATTACTCTCAGATAAAACTAGGTATCCTTTAGGAACTGCTTTTTCAGTTTTATATTTAACTTAAGCTTGCCCTTATTTATTTAGTTAGTGAGTTATTAAACAAAAGCACTGTGCTATGCACACACAGATCTGAATTTCTCAAGAGAAAGGGCTGGTGCAAAAATTTACTAGCTTAAAATTATCCCTGAAGTATAGTGGGCCGGACAATTGTCTTTTTTTCCCCCATCAGTAGAAAACTGGGGGCTCTGTAGTCAAGGAAACATGGTTTCATTAAAACTGAAACTAATTTTTTCTTTCTTAACGTAAATAGCCAGTACGCTATGTTTATTTTGTATAGATGACACGTAAGAGATTGATTATGTAAATGTGCCAACCATGTGCAGCTTATGGTGAGTTCACCAATATTTATGAGTTCTGAAGATCCTGCAAAATGGTTTTCTTTCTCTCTTTGCTTTTACATCAGTTCAATCTTGTAAAAACAAAACAACCGTCAACATCCAGAGGGTGGTGGTCAATGGCTCAAAGTCCAGATGAACGCCAGTGACAAGCAGTGTCCCTCAGGGGTCTTTGCTGGGACCAGTACTGTTTAATATCTTCATCAATGACACAGACAGTGGAATCAGGTGCACCCTCTGCAAGCTTGCGGGTGACACCAAGCTGAGTGGTGCTGTTGACAAGCCTGAGGGACGGGATGCCATCCAGAGGGACTTGGACAAGCTTGAGAGGTGGAGAACCTCATGAGGTTTAACAAGGCTAAGTGTAAGGTCCTGCATCTGGGTAGGGGCAACCCCTGGCATCAGTACAGGCTGGGGGGTGATATGATTGAGAGCAGCTCTGAGGAGAAGGACTTGGGGGTGCTGGTGGATGACAGGCTAGACGTGAGTCAGCAATGTGCACTCGCAGCTCAGAAGGCCAACCACATCCTGGGCTGCATCAAGAGAAGTGTGGCCAGCAGGTTGAATGAGGTAATTCTGCCCCTCTACTCCGCTCTGGTGAGACCCCACCTGGAGTATTGCATCCAGCTCTGGAGCCCTCAGCACAGAAGAGACATGGACCTGTTGAGGAAGGTCCAGAGGAGGGCAATAAAAATGATCCAAGGGCTGGAGCACGTCTCCTATGAAGACAGGCTGAGAGA